TAAAAATCACCTCTGGCTCCAAGATGATTTTACCCTTAAAAAATTTTTTATTTTGACAATTGAACTTCATGGTTATTGAGTTGGCTTATTGACTTCAGGGATTTCTTTTGGCCATGCAAGTTTAAATTGGTCATGCCAAACTTGGGAAGCAAAAGAACACCATTGTTCAGGGTACATCAGACAGGTTTCTGCCCCAAGGGGAGGGAGTGGCAAGAGTGTGGCCGGTGCTACAAAGCTCCCGAGAAGGCAGCAAGGTCTAGAGCGGAGGGTCAGGGCCCAGGAGAGGTGGCTAATGTTGATTCAGCATTTCCATCTGTCACCCAGGAACGGGGGCTAAGAGTAAATCTTCAGGCCTGCGGTTCTGAGAAATGCAGGGTCCCGAGCCCAGATCAGCGTCTGCACAACAAGAAGTCAGGGGCTGAGCCTCAGAGACATGTGAGGCTTGGTTGGAACAGCAAGAAAAGGGAAATTCTTGGCTTACGGTGACTTCGTACCCAACGTCACTGATCCCAGCCTGTTACTGAGGTTTGACTCTACTTATTCTTGCAGCGAGATGGGTCATAGTTATGAACTTAGAAAATGTAACCCCTGTATTGATACAGAACCACAGGGTCTGTGGACCAGATGCTTCAAACCTCTCTTGTATCGGGCATGTAGGAGGAAGGCAAAAGGAATACTTTCTCTTGGCGTCCAGATTGTCACAGTTTAGATCTTGAAAGCAATGGTTTTTAAGGGGTATCCTCACCAGCCACACAGCACCACCTGAGGCAGCCTTGAAAACCGGTTGGGACAGGAGATCCTACTTCCTTTCTTCTGCCCCGCTTATGCCCAGCTCTTCCAGTCCACCTCAGAAGTGTGTCTACCGCACTTCCTGAAGCCCCTGCAGGAGCTCATCCGGGCCTCTAGACCTTAAGCAGAGCCAACCCACCCAGCTCGAGAGGAGACGATCATGTCCTTATTTCCAAAGCAGTGTCACCTGGCAGCAGTTGAACCACCAGATGCTCACAGATGAGTTTTGCTATCATGTACAGGAGGCTCTAAAACAGATCTTACACTCAAGTTATTTGAAGAGATGAAAGAAAGTGCACATTCATATTCTTTGTGCAGAGGGCACTTTCCTAAGGAAAAAGGCAGCAAACAGCCCAGAAGAAGAAATTTAGAAACAGGAAGCTTTCTTGTGTGTGGAGACATTCCTCTTTTACCATTCCTGTCCTCAAGTTATGGGATGGGGAGGGCAGGATGTAGAAAAGCTGCTCATGAGTCTCTGGGGTGGGGTGGGGTGGGGTAGAGGCAGCTGAGTTCATAACTTACTCCCCAGTGATGCTGGCGGCTATGGAGGAGGGAGGTCCAACATTGCTGCGGTGGTGCCAGGCGCGCAGTCCACGGGGAGCTGAGGGGGTCGGTGAGCGTCCTTGTAAAGAATGCCACACTCAGAATGACTGCACCGAGTCAAGCCAGCATTCTCTGAGCGTGTGTTCGGGCTCAGGAGCTTCAGTAATCAATGCAAACAGTTCCTCCCTTTGAGGGTCACGGGGTCTTAGGTGGGACTAGGGGAGTGAGGAGTGGGGGCAACGGAGAGCAGGAAATAGAGGAGACAGAGCCGTTTAAACAATTCTTTCCTGTAACAGATAACTGGCCTGGGGCTTCCTGGCAGGGTGAGCAGGAGCTAGGTTTATTTAACCCGATACTCGGTTGGCAATCTCAGCAGGCCCCCAAGGACCTGGAGGAGGATGAAGATCTAATTTATCCCCCTTGACTCACCTGTAATAATGTGGGTGACAAAGGGAAAACAAAGACCCCTGAGGAAAGTAAAGGGAATGAGGCAAAATGCTACTGTGCTTCGACCATTCCTCTCTATATTTTCCAAGGAGAGACGGGGCGGGGTGGGGGGACTGGATGGTTGAAATTGGCAAGCACAAATGAAAAGAAAGTCCAGAAGTTTGGGCCCTTGCAGTGTTACAAAAATTGAGAGTTTACAGATTCCAGACGATAGGAAATAAGACTGAAAAGGGCCTTGAGCAAAGGCCCATTAAGACTTAGCAGGTAAGTAAGCGACTCAGGCTTTGAGGACAACACAGATTACGGATGTGACGCTACTGTCCGAGCCTTGTTCTAGGCCGTTGCGAGGTAACTGCTGTTAAATTGACAGGGAGACTGGCTGGGAGGTGAAGAAGCAAAGATATCATTCCCGAATCCTTCCTGTGCACCTGCCACTTCTGTCCCCCCAACCCCTGGAACCCCACAACCCTGGTGCAGGGCTTGGCATGTCCAAGGGGCTTGGAAAATGTACAGTGAAATAGAATACACATTTTATAGCAATACAAGAAAAATTTAAATATAAAAAAACTTCTCTGCCCTTTGGCCTCCTCTCTCCCCACATTGTGCATCACGTACCTGCACTAGGCATCCACCAACCACCCCCCCTCACCAGCAGGAGCACCTGCTCCACCGTAAGGAGCAACATCCTTCTAGCATTAACAAGACAGCTCCTTAAAAGATAGCATTCCTTCTTGATCTTGTGAGGAGTCATGATGACCCACTGCTCTGTACCTGCAGATCTGATTGTGGAAACTGTCAACATTACATCCAGCCCTCTGTATCAAAAAGCCTCAAAACTTTCAAAACCATGCTTTGACTTCTAATGGGCAGAACAGTTCTCCGATCTTTCTGAGAGGCTGTTCCTGGTTATAATCTTCAATTTGGCTAGAAAAAAACTTTCCCTTTCTTAGATCGACTGGTAATTTTCCGTCGACAGTACCTTGTCGCAGTTTCATCAAATAGGTGGCAAGGCTGCCTTCCTCCCGTTCCCCCGCATCTTGATCATCTTCCCTTCCAGGACAGGTTTCTGCCGCTTCCCGCTGCTGAGATTCCAGCTGAACAGGCCGTGCTGGGGTTTACAAGTGGAGATGTGTGGGTGGGGAAAACATCCCCCAGGAACCCTCTGGGCCCCCGTCCCAGTCAGAGGCTCCTCCTCCCAGGACCCCTTGAGGTAGAGCTGCGGGGGCCCCCTGCACATGGTGACCGGCCATCTCTGTGCACAGTCAGCCACAAAGAAAACCCAAGCCTCTGGGCATTTTGCTGTATGGGCTCCTATCATAAGACCAACAAAACTAAAATGCATGAGAAGAGAAATCCAGTAAGAGAAAAGTGACCTAAGACTCAAGCCTATTAAGTCAGCCTGACATTATTAAACTTCCAAAGTGAGGAGTCGCCCTTCCTGCCTTAAGACCACTTCTTGGAGGCAGAGTCGCTTCCCATGTTTCTTTCAAATCCAAGCTTGATGCTACTTCCGAGTTCTCACCTAGACCTTTCCCGCGGGGTCCCCCTGTCTGGGGGACGGACATCCCCTCCTTCCCTGCAGATGCCTCCTGGGAATGACCTCTGCCCCGCCCAGCGAAGACACTCCTAGCCACGCCCCCGATCCTGGCGCCCCGCCCAGGCGGTGGCACAGCCCAGACCCCACCCCACACTGGGGCCCCGCCCTGCGAGCCCTAAAGGTTCCCCCAACCCGCACAAGGAGCTGCGTGGGGCACGGGCTGATCCGGCTGCCCAGGTCAAGGGAGACAAGGACCAGCCGCTGGGTTCATCCAGGTGGCGTCTGTAACGCTCCCTCTGGGCAGCAGCCTAGGGAAAACCTGCCCCAAGTGACAGGGGAACAGGCACCTGTTCTTAGGGCCCTGGAGGCAGGAAGTGGGTTTTGGAGATGGAAGGAAGTTGGCCACCCCAGTGGAGGGGAGGGGCCCAGCTGGCAGGGTCAGGGGCCGCAGGGGGTTGGGGTGAGAGTGCCTGCTTCCAGCCGAGAAACGTCCAGACCTTCTGCTGGCCCTTTCTACTTGCTTTGCAAAATGTTAGGAAAATGCCTCAAATCTCATTTCCAGAGTCCTGAGGTGGAGGGCACCCAGGTGTCCAACCTTTTTTTTCTGAGAGAAAAGGATATTTTCAATTGGGACTAACTTTAAGGCCTTAAATTCACATCTATCATTCAGACTGTGAACACTTCCAATAGGAAAGAGGTAATCAATTAATTCATCCGGTGTGAAATGTGTTTAACAGGACTTTGCTCAAATTCCACAGGGAAATAACTGGTGCTACATCCCGTGCGGGTCAGCTGCGGACGAAAGGCCACCAGGCAGACATTCGTCAGCGTCACAGGCGGTCACA